CCCTGTGAGGGACCCATTGATGCATCACATAGTCCACCAGTGCCGGACACCACTGGTACGAATCCCTGAAGTTAGCCAATGCTCGCTCATACGCTTCCTCTGTGGTAGCCTGTAGGATCTTCCGCCACTTACCATTCACCAATCTCTCTGCCATTTCCAAATTCTTCTTGAAAAGGTTGTAGGCTTTCACTTTCACGCAGTTGTTGATGTGCCATGTGCACAATAAGTGGTTCAATTCGGGAAACAGCTCTGCTATGGGGGCAAAGAGACCTCCCTCACAGTCGCTGACGATGGCTGCTGGATGAACATTAGGCCCGATGTAGTTTCTCAGCTTCTCCAACACCCAATAATAACTTGGAGCCGTCTCATCCCTGATGATTGCATGACCAATCAGAAAGTTCTGGTTCGTTGGAGCCATCCCAACCATCTCAACCAGAGGGAACTTGTACTTGTTTGTCTTGTAGTCGATCAAAATCACAAATGGCCAAGACTTGATCATATCAGCACAATCAGGATGCACAAGGAAAAGATGAGTCACCTCCGCTGTATCTTCATCAGAATCAAACCAGAACAGGTAACCACGTGATTGTGCCTGGTGTAGCAGCTGCTGTATAGGGTTCCTTCCCTCTGACCGTTCAAACCTGAGTTGCTGTCTGACGTTGTAGATGTGTCTTCGGTTTGGATGGTCTTCTGGAAATTTCTCTAACACAGATGCTAATATTTTAGCAGGCTTCACTTGAGCATCACTCATTTCTTTCACAACTAGTTTCGCAGCAGGACTTAAGCCGCTCAGTTGTCGATGACCCTCTTCATATACTATCATCTCATGGTTGTGATACCCCCATTTAGAGTAACCTCTCACTTCCAAACCGTCACGACTCCGTAGTTGTCGAACCTTTACTCTGAACTCACACCCACAACCTTTCCGCTTTGTGTCAAACCGAGTGGCTGTACGAAAATCTCTTTCTTCTCTTTTGCGATAACGGTCACATCTCAAAATGCGATCCATTCTACCATCCCGTTGAGATTTATGAGTTGCTACTACCAAGCAAAATCCAGCTGCAATTGCAACCTGTTTTGCCCAATCAATCGCCTGTTGAGCTTCTTCGAATGGACCATCATGTCCAAATATCCCACTGTAATCATTTCCGTCTCCACCATATTCCTGCATCAATTATATATTACAATAAATACATTTAACGGATAATACATTTAATTTCTATATTTCCACAGAATTAACACAAAAAAAAACATAATTATATATAATCAAACTTAATTTTTATAAAAACCCAATTCGAATTTTCAAACTAAATTTAAAAATATACCATTTCGAATTTTCAAATTTAATTTTAAAAAAACCTATTTCGAATTTTCAAATTTAATTTACAAAAAACCCATTTCGAATTTTTTTAAAAAATCATTTTCGATTTTTTTTTTTTTTACAAAAAAATTAAATAAAAAACAACAACAAAATCAAAAAAGAAAAAAAAAATTAATTATTAAAGGTGGCGTCTGCCAGGGCTGCCACAGCCACTGGACTGGCGCCTGGCAGGGCCGCCTCACCCAGTGGAGTGGCGTCTGCCAAGGACGCCAGTCTGGTGGTCTGGGCGTCTGGGCTAGACGCCATTCTGGTGGTTCTGGCGTCCGGCTTGGACGTCCAGGCTACGGTTTGGGCGTCCACCCTAGGCGCCGGAGCCACTCCGACGGTAAACCGTGAATTTTAACGGTGACTTACCTCGTTTTCTGTCGACGACGACGTACCTCCGGCGTCCCCCGCATCTCCGGCCTGCCATCCGGTCTTTCCCGGCGAGCCAGTACGGCTCCACATTTTTTACACCGAGATTATTTCAATTTTAGAAAAAGGACATAATGATCAAATCATATCATATTTGTGGGCTTTATATGGTAAATTGCGGGCGATGTTTAGCGTTTCACAAATTATTTCCCGTAAATATGAGCTAGTGTTACTTATTATGAAAAAAGGCCATTATTATTACCCAGAAAACTGGAATTGATGATTTGATGCTAATGACATTGGATCCCCACTTTAGAGAAGACATGGACATTGACAAGGACATACTTGTATTTTTATTTGATGGCCTTTAAAGTGGCCCCTTAAAATGTTAGTCCATTAGACGAGGAAGTAATATAATAAAGCTTAAATACTGAAGTAAACTGATGGAACTGTTATTGCTTGAATTATGTATTTATGTTGCTTTCTTCAAAAAAAAAAAAAAGTATTTATGTTGCTTTGTTGATGATGGCAGATTGGTCATACAATAAGGCACAAGTTTTAGGCCTTGTTTAGTTCACCTTATTTTTACTTATTTCAGAAAAAATAAGTTCAGATCAGATCAGACTAGAAAAAATAAGTTCAGATCAGATCAGAAAAGTTCAGATCAAATACAAATTATTATTATTATTATTATTATTATTATTATTAATAAATAGCACAAATAATAAACGATAATAGTTAAAATTTCATTATAAGCTCCAAATCATAAACGTTTACAAATATGTTAGTGTGCTTGTATTTTTCAACCACCTTTATGCTTTTGCTAAGAAAATATTGCATGGATGACAGCTTTTAGGACAATGTTACTTCCTAGGATAGACTGATAGAGTTATATTGTCATTTCCTAAAACAATATATTATTGAATAAAAATAGTATTGTCAATTTCTATAACAACATACTCCCTCCATCCCTTATTGATAGCCTCTTATGGGCAATTTTCACGGGAAGTAATAAGCAAAAATAAGTAGTAAAGTACATTGAAAAGATAAATTTACATTGGATATGAAAAAAAGTAGACGGAGGGAAATAACAAATAGGATGAACATTTTGGGAGTAAAATTTAGCCAAAAATGACTATCAATAAGGGACGGAGGGAAAACATAATACTTTGCTTTTTCCTAGAAACACCCTCTTCAGATCAAAACAATAATACTTGATCAAGTGGTTTTAAAAAAAATATTTGAATATCTTCTTACAAAATATTACTTTTTTTTTCTACAAAAAAAAAAAAAAAAAAAAAAAAAAAAAAAGCAATAATAAATGAGCCTAACGTTTCCTATACAAAAAAATTAATATCTTCGTACAACATATTATGTATATTTTCATTTTTTTTTAATTTCATATTTTTGATAACAAACCTAATGTTTCCCATAAATAATTTTTTTTTAATTTCATATTTTCTTTCCTCCTATTCTATCAAATACTTTTGCTTTATACAATTTTTTATTCTTCCACTTACCCCAAAAGCTCCATATATTATTACGTTTACCAATTTTTCCTAAAACTCCCCACATGTAGAAATGGAGAAGGTATTTAAAATCGAAGGGAGTATATGTATAAGGTTTTCAATAATAATAGCTACGCATTACTTTAATTAAAATTAGTACAAAATAACATAGAAAATGTTGATAGTTCAAACAAACGATAAAATCAAATCCGATACATCATAAATCCATATTATTATTTAAGAATTAAGGTATTTGAAAACAAGTCAAATCTCTTTTTTCTATATAGAAAAAAGCTATGATAAATTTAATCTGTAATTTAGTTTGCAAAAATTCATGGAAATAATCCCACCTTTGGGCCGTTCGTTTTTAATAATTCCACCTTTCAATTATTTTTTAATAATCCGACCTTTACCCCCTATTCTTTTTTAATGGTCCCAACCGGTCATGTAACCTGTTATAACAGGTTACATGACACGTGGCGGCCTGTGATTGGTCAAAAAAAAAGAATTGGGGGTAAAGGTCGGATTATTAAAAAATAATCGAAAGGTGGGATTATTAAATACGAACGGCCCAAAGGTGGGATTATTCCCATGAATTTTTCCATTTAGTTTTTTTAGGATCCCCATTTTAATACTTTCTTATAAAAAAAATTCATTTATGAAGTGGGATATTGTAAATAATAAAATTATCAAATATTTCAATTCTATTACCTTATACTATCTACTAATTTTAATACTTATAGGTTTCTTTAAAAAATTTGTAGGTCTATAATAATAATACTACTACTACTACTACTACTACTTCTACTAATAATAATAATAATAATAATAATAATAATAATAATAATAATAATAATAATAATAATAATAATAATAATAATAACAGATTTTTCATGAAATACCACTGAGTTTTTCGAAAATTCACTATATACCACACAAAATTTTTTAATTCACCATATACCATTCAGTTTATGCACGTTAGCACAAAATGCCATTAATGGTAACTTCCGTTAGTGTGCCGTTTGGGGTAAATTACCAATTCACCATATACCATGATTTTATGTTTTTTTTGCATGAAATACCATTTTCTTAAAATATAGTCGTTGAACAGTTATAACGGCTAGTTTGTGTAAATATATGTAGTTCTTGAGGGAGTCACGCACCAAGGCACACCTCTAAGAGCATTTGCAAAGATTTCCACAAACTCGAGATCATCATCATCATCGTCTTCTTTCGGGTCTTCGTATGTAAGGGTGCCAAACAAAGCATGTTGTTGTGGTAGGAAGTTTGCAATAAGAAGTTCTGATTCGGCAAAAAATCCACAAAGGTTGTACTACAAGTGTGATGTATGTGATACATTCAGATGGAGCAAGGGAAATGTTGATCAAAATGTCTCGTGGGGTTATGAAAATCAAAGCAGGGGAGGGATAGACACGCATGGAAGTGAGACCGTGTTGAAGCAAGAGTTGAAGGAGCTGAAGAAAATAGTAGCAAAACAACAAAAGATAGTGAATAAAAATAGGAGCAATTTTGTTTATGGTTATTGTGTTTGTAGCCTTGAAATGAAAAATGTAAGACAAAAATTTCGTTGCTTAAATAAGTTGCAATTCAATTGCTAACATTGTTTGCAAAAAAAATATGCCTATATAATTGTTGAGTACTTGCATTACATTGTTCACTAAACAACTTGACACTAAACACTTAAGATTAAATATTGTTCACCAAAAAATTACACTTGACAACCAGCTTCAACAATGCTAAGTAGCAGCATTTCTCTTCTTCCCCCTTGTGTTACCTTGCTGTGAAGAGGAAGCTGCATTTTCTGTCTTCTTCACTACTGCCTTTCTTGCCTTACAGGTCACTGCATTGTGTCCCAGTTCTTTGCATAGGCTGCATTTGTTGTTCTTGTGCCTCTTTCCTTTTTTTGCTTCATAAGGGGCTCTTCTCCTTTGCTTAGCTGGTCTGCCTACACTTCTTTTGCCTTGGGGTGGTGCAATTTCTGGCACATCAAGTGATGGCCAGTGAGTTGGATCAGCCATGGGGTGGATGTGGTCTCCATAAGTCAGTTTGTATGCAGCCCCCTTGTAGAAAGGTGACACAAAGTCACTGGGTTCAAGTCTCTAGTTGTAAATGACCCTGAGACCATGCTTGCATGGGATCCCTGATCCTTTCCATTTCCCACACCCACAAGTCATATTCCCAAGTGACAGGGAACTTGACATGGCCATCCCTCACCTCAAACTCTCCACCACCAGCTGCAGTGACATGGCAGAACCTAGACTCATCAGTCTTGATCTCCAACACCCCCTGTGCATGCTCTGTCAGCTGATTTGGTTCCATGTCCACTGCTTTATCGAACCTGGAACCCATCCTTTTCATGCACCAATTCCTGAGAGCTGAATTATTCCCAAAAAAGAAAGTCACAGGAAGCAACAACAAGTACACAGACATAACATCAACTCATTGTGGTACAAACAAACCAATTTGTATGCATTGAAATGAACAAAATAGGCACAACAGTTTACCTTCCAGCAATGTCAACACAGGCATGTCCCTGTTGGACTTTGTTATTGCATTGAATGACTCTACGAAGTTTGTTGTGTTATGATCACAACATACTGTCCTGTCAAACACGTGCACACTCCACTGCTCTTCCACATTTGTCAGGTAATCAAATGCTGCTGCATCATACTCTTTTATCTTGGACATTGCTTTTCCAAACACATATTCATTGTAGGCATTTGCAGCAACCCAAAACAACTTATGAAATGTTGTCCCACTCCATCCTGCACCCTTGCAATTTGAGTACAAATGCTGGCAGCATATTCTCCTGGTAGCTCTTGGGAACACCTCAAACAAAGCTGATTCAACCCCCTTAAAAAAACAAGACTAAGTTAGTAAAAAGCATCATCATCACAAATTAAAGACAAAGAAGAAACTTACCCTCATCCTGTTACTTATAAAAGTCCAGTCATCCTTCTGAGATCCATACTGAGCAAACAGGCACCTCAAGTTTCTGAAGAAATAAGTCCAGGAATCTATGCTCTCTGTGTTAACAATCCCATAGGCTAACACAAAAATCTCATTATTCCCATCAATTGAAACTGCAATGAGCATAATCCCTTTGTAATACCCACTTAAATGTGCACCATCTATTCCTATGATAGGTCTACAACCACCTAAGAATCCTTTCACTTGAGCTGCAAAAGATATGAAACAGGCCTTGAATTTCAAAATCTGATCCCCACTATCAGTCCATGTAATAAGAGCATATGACCCAAGATTTGTGGAATTTATCATTTCAGCATACTTTGGAAGAGCTGCATAGGACTCATCAAACCCACCATGTAATTGCTCCCTGCCTAAACTCTTCACTTTGTATAACAACCTCAACTTCACATGGATCCTGTACCTTCCATGCACAGTCTCTGTAATGAATCAACTGGGACATCTGGGTTTGCCTCTAAGTCTTGTAACAAATTCCTGCATAGCCATGCTAAAGAGACCATAGGATTCTCTTCCAGCCTCCCACAAGTTGCATGCTCTCCTTCTAGCTTCTTTATGGCCCAACTGAATTTGTCTCTCAGAACTGAAGCATGAATCCTCCAATTGCAATCCGTCATCAGACACCTTGCTATGTACCTTTGACTGTCAGCATGGTCAACTGAAACAGAGAAGCCCTCTTGTATGCAGTAATCTCTGAAAACCTCTAGAAACTGTGTTTTGGTTTCAAAAATCAACCACTCTTCAAGTTCAATGGATCCAAATGGTAAGTGAGACCAGATTTTACCATTTTTGTACATTTTGTCTAACACATGGGACCCATCTAAGTAATCCTCAAATCTCTTCTCAGGTATATTATCAGGAACATCTTCTTCTCTCACAATGTACTCATCCTCAATGTCCAACTCCATATCATAATCAGCCTCAACATCAGAAACTTCATAATCAGCATCTTCACTATCATCAGAAAGCCAAGCATCAGACTCAACATCACTTTCCTCAACAACCAATTTTTTTTGTACTAATGTTGATTTGCCTCCCTGCTGCATTTTTCTTCCCAACATCAAGCCCATACTTTTTTTGCTGTGCTTCTAGGCACCCTCCACTCTTTGGGTTTAAGCCTGGTTTGTGCTTTAGGCGGGGTTGGTTGCCTTGGTACATTTGGTGTTGGGTGTGGTGGTTGTGGTGGAGGGGGTGTAGGCTGCCTGGGTTGGTGTGTTGGTGTTTGTGGTGGGGAAGGATGTTGTTGGGAAACATTTGGTGGTGGAGGTGTGGGCTTTCTTTGTGGAGTGGGCTGTTTGCATTGAGTGGACTGTGTAGGGGGTTTTTTCTTCTTCTTTGGGGTAAGTTTTTTTCTACTTGAAGGGTTCTTTGGTTGAGATGTTTTTGTTTGTGAGGGTTGAGGTTGTGAATCCCCTGGAAAAACCTCATCAGCTGCTCGGGTAGCAAAGACCCTTACATAGTCAATCCCATCATCATCAGCATCCACAAAAGGGACCTCTACAGCCACAGTATATGCCTGCTGGGCCAAAAGCTGCTCCTCAGCTTCTGCTTCCTCTGCTTTCCTTCTATTCTCTTCCTCCATTATCCTAATATTTTCAGCCCTATTCTTCAAAGTTTTTGCCCAACTAGCTTCTGCAGACTCAAACACAAGAGATGGTGTTTCTGTCTCTTCTATAAACACTTCTATTTCACTCTTCCCTTCATTCCACTCCCACATTTTTAACATTGCCCCATCATCAACTAATTCTAACTTACGATTTGTTCTAGGTTTACTCACAAACAGGGTGAAGTATTTAGGGAGAAATACGTTCTGTTTCACTGAATCCTCAAACATATACTCAAACAACTCCATCAAATTGGTCTTATCAGTGTCATCCACCCTCACATCAAAAGTACCACCTGGAGCACGAACTAACAACCACATTGCACTCATCCTAACAACAACATTTACCAACAACACATTACATCACAATCCAAACTATAAATCGCATACAAAACAAAAAACTTCACTTTAACATAATTCAAATTCGCATACAACACATCAAACTTAACTTTCATATAATTCATATTCGAATTTAATAGCAAACAAACTGACACAGATGATCAATTTCCACGAAACCATAACCCTAACTCAATTTTGCAAAAAAACAACAAAATTAGAACTCGAAATGCAAATGGATAAGGATAGTAATACCTTGCGTATGATTAATCCACCAAAGTTGCGAACTTTGTGCGAAATTCAGTCACGAACACCACGTTGTCTCAGAAACCTCGTCAAACTGCCTCTAAGTTCAACCGTTGGTCCCAATTTGCTTTCCTAGTTGCAATTCACTTCACAAAATCGACAATTTGCAATTTTTGGATGGATTTTTAGAGTTGAAGATCAATGAAGACAAACAGAGAGTTTCTTCAATGGAAAAGAAGAAAGATGGGGGGTCAAATTTTTGAAGATGAGACGTTTTGTTTGGGAAAGTCAACCCTAACAATGGCGCCATTTAATGCGTAAGGGCATATTGGTAATTTACCCCAAACGGGACACTAACGGAAGTTACCATTATTGGCATTCTGTGCTAACGTGCACAAACTGAATGGTATATGGTGAATTAAAAAATTTTGTATGGTACATGGTGAATTTTCAAAAAACTAAGTGGTATTTCATGAAAAATCCGTAATAATAATAATAATAATAATAATAATAATAATAATAATAAATAATAATAATAATAATAAATAAAAATAATAATAATAATAATAATAATAATAATCATAACAATAATAATTAAACATTAATATTGATTAACATTAAAAGTAGAATATTGAAATAATTCAAATAAGTTCAAATCAGAAAAAATAAGTTCAAATCAGATCAGATCAGAAAAAATAAGTTCAGATCAGATCAGATCTAAAAATATAAGTTCAGATCAGATCAGATCAGAAAAAATAAGTTCAGATCAGATCAAATTAGAAAATATAAGTTCATATCAGATCAGATCAGAAAATATAAGTTCAGATCAGATCTGATCAGCTTAAATCAGGTGAACTAAACAAGGCCTTAATCAGTAAAAACAATTTTAACTTATTTAAAATAATTAAAATTCCTCAAAAATAATCACTTTAATAAAAATAATATTAGTTTAGCAAAATTAAAGTCCTTAGCCTTTTGGATTAAAGTACATATCAGCGTTGGACTTTAATTTATTCGGATGATTAGGTTAGATTAGAAAAAAATTTAGATAAGATTAAATAATAAATAATAAGCTGAAATAAGGTTTTGTAAATACAACCTATCCAGTGTATGTTTGGGGGTGAGGATGTAAAAGGTTAAAGATATGGCCATATGGGTAAAACGTTCTCTTACCATAAATAAGAGATAGTATAAAGGGGGGGGGGGAATTAAGTAACATCAAGTTTACAAAATGAGAAGGAATGAGACATGAGAGTTGCTTAAAAAATAGAGTTGCTTAAAAAATAAAAAATAAAAATAGACATGAGAGAGTGAGAATTTAAGTAATATTTGAGTCCTTTCCCTAAATATTGTTGGGAAATTATCTAATTATCAAATTACAACTAATCTTTTTTTAATTCCCACCATACCGTCCACGTCAGCTAAGGAAAAAAATCGGTTTTTTTTTTTTATCGGTCCAGCAACAAACCGCTACTTGAAGTAGCGATGTTATAGGAATAAACCGCTACTTCAAATAGCGGTTTCAATTTCGTAAACCGCTACTTCAAGTAGCGGTTTATCTCGAAACACTGCTACTCCAAGTAGCGGTTTCCTGCTATAATGTAAAAAAAAAAAAAAAAAAAAAAAAAAAAAAAAAAAAAAGTTCTTTCACGTTTTGTGGCGGTTTCCACGAAACCCTTAATTACAATAACAACACAAGTTTCTCAACCACCAAATTTGCACAGCTGGTACTCTATCAATTGCTATAACAACTGAACAAGATTATTATCAATTCCCTCCAAATAATATTCTCAGATTACACAAGATAATCACATAAATTATGATATAGCCAGTAAAATTCTGACAAAACCCAGATCAAATTGCACAAAACCAGCAAAACCCAGATCAATTATAGACAAAACCTAGATCACAAACTCAAAAATTAAGATGAGCGACAAGTCTATGAATGAAATTGAGAAAACCCCAGATCAAGAACAGACTTTTGAAGCAAACCCAGTTGATAATTCTCTAAAAATGACCAATTTAATTCAGCAACTTCCAAATATTCCAATAGTATCTGAATTCAAACCTCAACTGTGCATCACAATTTTGAATGTAAATGAAGGAGAAAAAAGAAAAAAACGAAGAATTTTGATACCCACACAAATTCCTGCTATAACATGAGAGAGAACAAATATACGAAGTACTTTATATGAATGCTTTTTTTTTTTTTTTTAAATTGGTCGTATTATTTTGATACCCACAAAACCGCCACTTGAAGTGGCGGTTTATTAAGATGAAAACCGCTACTTCAAGTAGCGATTTTCTGTAAAAACCGTAAAAATAAAAAACTCGCTCGAATCGGTGACGTGGACGGTAATATGGAAATTAAATAAAAAGAGACGGTATATATGGAATTGAGTCTTTTTTCAACAATATTTTGGGAAAGGACTCGTAATATTTCAGCTATTGTATTCTTATTCTTAACTCGGTACTTACAAAAGGTGAAACTATTTTACTTTTATTATACTCTTTAATCTTTAATCTTTATCCTTTATATAAAACGTCTTGTAAATTTCTTTTATTCTACCGTTTATTCTTATCCTTTCCTCCTTGTCCCCAATAAACAAACATTCGTAAGTGTACATATGATAGGTGTACATGGAGGTGATCATTAGGCGGGGCGGGTCGGATTCGGGCCGGGCTGAAGCTAAAAATATGCCCACTTTTCGGGTCGGATCAAGCTTCGGGTCGGAATTTTTGTGCCCAAACCCGTCTAAAATGGTCGGGCTTTTCAGGCCGGGCCTACAAGCAATTAAAAATGCATAAAAACAGATTCCCAAATCCGCCAAAAAAAAAATTTGGGCCGAGCTGGGCCCAACCCGATTTCGGGCCAAAAAATTCTGCCCATAATCGGGCCGGACTAATGTTGATCACCTCTAGGCGTACAATGAAAATGAAAATTATGAATCGCTATCTCGATAAACTAAATTATTTAGCACTTAACTTGATCAATCATCCTCATCTTAAGGCCATGCTTGGATTGGGGGTAATATATAAAGGGGGTATTAAAAGTCAAACTTGAAAAAACATAAGTAATTAGAGGTGTTGTAGGAGATAAGGTGTTTACAAGTGAAATAACATAGTTATGCCATGAGGAAAAGAGAGAGATGGAGGAACTATTATCTTCCTAAAGAGGGTAATAGTTACCCACCCTCCCCCTAATGTAACTATTACCCCCAAAATGAGGGTATTAGTTCCTCTTTCTTCACCTCATACCACACCTATCACTACATAATTTTCCTTACAACCACACCATCACTATCTCCTCCTTCTCTATATTCACTTTCATTTTGCTTAGTTTGACTTCTATTACCCTAGTAATATATCTCCCTCAATCCAAACATGTCCTAAGAGATTCCCCTTTTGAAAATAGTCGCATAATAAACTAATACGAGTACGAGTAATTATATTACACCAAGTTGGTAATGGAATGATACTTAAGCCAAATTAAAATATCATATCCCTTAATTAATTGCAACTAAAGCATTATTAAGGCGTTGTTGAAGAAGTATGGTAAGACAAGTCTCCAAGAAAGAGTTGTAGGAATAATAACAATAATAATAATAATAATAATTATAATAATAATAATATGGTATAAGAAAGTGGAAAAGCCCAAAAACAAAACTAAAACGTCGTCGGATGACGTTATATTATGTACTTTCCATAATCCATTGATAATTATTAATTTTTTTTTTTTGAGGAATAATCCATTGATAATATTGATAGCAATGGAAGTGTAAATCAAGAACTCCACCTATAATATTATTATATTACAAGTAGTATTTACTCCATTCACACTCATCATTACAAATATAGACAAATAGATTATGTCATTTTAATGAATAAGAAATTAATTAGTGGGCCAATTTGTAAAAATCATCTGAGGTAGGCATTAAAAGTGCTCAAATTTGATGGGTACCTACATTATATTAATTAATCTTGACAAAGTACTCACTTCATAATGAAGATGATTACCTTAGTAATGTACTACATATCAAAAATAATACTCTTCGTTTTTATTATATGTCATATTTGGCAAATGGAATTTAACTCTAATCTAATACTTCAAAACATAGCTATGATGTTCGATTTGTCTTGCTTTTTAAAAAATAAAACAATTCTAATTGTTTAGCTTGATATATTTAACTATAATAATATTGCAGTGAAAATCATGAAAAAAGAGGTTAATCATTTTATTACAATCAGATGAATCAGACGAAAATTTTCTTCACGACTATAATAGATCGATAAACCCCCTCGTCGAAAATGATTGTAAATCACAGCAATATAAAAGAGGGTATGAAGAATGTACGATTTGCAACAACGATCGTAACTCTGCTGAAAGGAAGCTTTTATTTGATTCAATTCTCATGTATTTATTAAATTTAAATCTCTTTGCAGATGTCGTATGACTTTATTTATGAATCAATCTTTATTTAAAAAAAAAAAAAAAAAAAAAAAAAAAAAAACTTGATTTAACAATTAAATGGAGTGTAAACAATTTGAAAATAAAAGCTTGTACAAATCGTGATTAAAAAGTGTGCAATATACAGTAGTCGTGATCACGTGTTATCAGTCACATACAATTATACAAGGCATCTTACAATAAATACTACGTATGTTAGTAATATCGAGTATTTACTTGTTGAATTGAACTAGTGATGATCTTTTGGACAGGGACAATGAACCATTAACAA